AGAGAGAGAGAGAGAGAGAGAGAGAGAGAGAGAGAGAGAGAGAACAGCGGGAAGTGAAGACTTGAACCATCTATGCTCCTTTGGATCAATGTGATGTCTGAACCGAACTCGGTACTGCAGCTTCGGTTTTGGAGGACGTCCCCTGCCTGTCAGCCTTGGAACTGGCATCTCTTTGTGGTCCATGATTTCATCAATGTCAACCTCTCCATCCATGGTTGGGGGCAGCATTGAGCGACGAGAGGGAAACTGGTCAGTTTCCTTAAAAGGTGCGAGCTTGGAGGCGTGAAATACCGGATATGTGCGTAGGTGACCAGGGATGCGAATAACATAAGAAGGACCATCCGGTTCATCCCCAATGACATGTAGAACCTCCCATGGTCCAAAGTACTGTGGCATGAGCTTATGGGATATCCCGTGCTCCTATCCCAGTTCCGAGAACTTGACCCAGACTCGGTCCCCTACCTGAAATGTGGACGGGCGCCAGTGTTTGTTCTCAGACTCTATCATTGCCGCCTGTGCTTTCAGCATTTGTTCCACTGCCAGCTGCATCGTTTGTTTATATCGATAAGCAAATTCTAGTGTACCTGGTGCAACAGTTTGCTGGTTCTCAGGTAAAAGAAAGTCTAGGGGCAGTCTAGGCTTGAAAGTTAGTAGCAGGCTGTTAGGGCTCACCCCTGTGGCGCTGTGCACAACGTTGTTGTACAAGCTGGCGCTGAGAGCAAGCTTCTCATCCTAGTCCACCTAGTTGGGCTTGATGTAATGCCACAGCAGGTGTTGTACAGCGCGGTTCAGCTGCTCTGCCTGGTCGTTGGCCTTTGGGTCATTTGCAGCTGTGTCTCCTGTTCTGCAGCTGCAGCCTTCCATAACTCGCTAGTGAATCTGACATCCTGGTCACTCACGATGAACTTTGGTAATCCAAAATCTCTGACCCAGTTCTCCTTGAATAGCCTAATGACGTACTCAGTCTTTGCTGTTTCTGGCATTGCAACTAACCTAGCATACATACTAAACCTATCCACAATGACAAAGATGTGTCTCATTCCACTCTTGCTGGTGACCAGTGTGTCCATGAAGTCCATGGACAGGCTCTCACCGGGCCTTTCCGGTATCAGAAGGGGCTTGAGGAACCCAAGAGGGGCCTGTGTACGGGGCTTGTCTCTTTGACAGACCTGGCAAGTCTCCACGTACAGCTTGGCATCTCTCACCATCGTGGGCCACCAGAACCGCTGCAGCAGATTGGCTGCCATCTTCTTGAAGCCAAAATGTCCGGTGGCATCATGACACTCACCTAAAAATAAACCACGCAAAGACTCCCTATTGGGAACACACAAACATTTATTCCCGGCCTTCTCAAGGAACAACAGGCCGTTGACCAACTCAAACTCGGCAGAAGTGATTTTGTCCTTCACCTCGAGTCTGCGAATGATCTCGGACATAAACTGATCCTCGCGGTAGGCTTCCACCATAGAGCGAGTAACATCGTCTGCAAGCCCAAACTCAGTGAGCAGCGCACCGGAGAAATCTAGTCTACTCGACAATGCATCAACAACCTTGTTGTACTCGCCCTTGATGTACTGGGGCTCAAAGTCATACTGCTCTATGACTTCAATCCAACGCTTCAAAGCGTCATCGAGCACAAGCTGGGTTCTCATCCACTTCAGGGTCTGGTGATCAGTCCTGACGTAGAAGAACCTCCCAAGGAGATAGTCCCTCCAATGGGTGAGCGCCTTGTAGATCGCATAGAGCTCCTTCTCATAGGTGGACTTAGCCAACTTCTGAGAGGGCATCTTTTTGGACATGTACTCAACTAGCCTCAACTTTGGCCCCTCCTGCCGCGCGAGCACGACGCCTATGCCATATTGGCTGGCATCCGTGGTTAATATGAATGACTTGTCAGGATCGGGAAGTTTCAAGACCTCATGATGCGTCAATGCTTGCTTCAGGTGTCTGAAAGCAACCTCGCACCTGTCTGTCCACTCCCATGGGGTGTCAAGGCGGGTCAAGTCAGTCAAAGGGGCGGCCACTATACTATAGTTCTTTACAAAGTTACGATAGTAGCCGGTCATCCCTAAGAACGACCTCATCTCAGCCAAAGACTGAGGACGCGGCCAGTCACGAATGCTGGCCACCTTCGCGTCATCGGGCTTCAATCCCTCCTGGAAATCTCATGACCCAAGTACAAGATACGCGTGCGGCCAAACTCGCACTTCTCACCATTGATCTTGAACTTATGTTGTCGAAGGAAGCTAAGGACTTTGTCCAAGTGCGCAACATGCTCCTCGACAGTCACACGGTCAACTTGCACCGGCGGACTCTTACCGTTCGTGACGATTTCGGCGCCAAAGTACCGTGTACTATTCCTCTTCTGCACCCTTCGATTCGGTGCCAAGTGGTGACGGCCAAATCATTCCGGGCTACTTGTGCTTACGAGCAGCCCGATGAAATCGGCCTATGTTTCCTACGGACCGTCGCGGTAGCCGACTCTTCACCCACAGACTTGTTGTCGGACCCTCGTATGGTGCGGTTGCTTGACGAGTTCGCTGCTTCTGGTCCCCACAAAAGTAAAAGAGAGTGAGCCATGCTATTAGCAGGTGTAGAAACTGCTGCAGTTAAAAAATTACAACCTTCCAAATAAGAGCTTGCCAAACCGTGAGTACACCATGATGTCATGAAAGTAGTACCAGTTAACCATCCTCCTAATGAAAAATAGGCACATGGTCCTGTAGTGTAAGTGCTGTCTGCAAGCCTACCCTTCCCAGAAATCCTAGAAACCGTCGAGCACATCTTCCTACAATGTCCAGGTGCGGTCCTCACCTGGAGATGGTTGGACAGGATATGGAGGTGGACTGTGGAAGGGAGTTTTTGGCCCTGAGATTGGACAGTAATTCTTGGCGGCTACTAGCCTTTACATTCACGCCCAACCTTTTGAGCCCGGAAGATGGGCGATCTTGCAGGAATTAAATCAGCGCCTCCTGCCCTGGTTGAGGAAGGACCGTCAGACCCCTGGTGGCCCCCAGTGGTTAATGGATGCCTGGATAATGGCTTGTATTGGAATATCACCAGCACCAACATGATCAGTCCGGAATGTTGAAGGTCATCACGAGGGGAGGGAGGCCCCCATCCACTACAGTCAGCACTGCCAAGATCATTAGTTGCAGAATCCAGGCGGTTAATCCTCCGGCACCCAGAGCCAACAACGCCACCTGAAACCCTTCTGCAATTACAAAAATTGTTGCTTTCAACACCGCTTTAGGTGCCCTCTGAGCAGGCTTTACTGTTACATGCCCAGTTGGGCGATGTACATATAACCCGAGGATCAGCAATGTGATGAGAAGGACTGAATGGACAATGCAGTGCAAGTGGAATCCCGACAAGCAATGTGCATTCCGATACATACAAAATGGTGCTTTATAGCGCAGGGAAGACTTAGATACAAGTCTTGACCTGACCGAGACTGACGTCTGTCACATAGTGCAAGATAATGTAGCAGAATGCTAGAATACCAATGACTAGCCCAATCAATGTTGCAACGCAGACCCAACATACATCATTCTCATCACAAAGTGTGAAGGGAGCTTGGCGCTATACACAGGAAGAAGGTGCCAGGTCCAGATCATGCATAGACGAAGAGGAGGGAAACAGACGGAGAAGAGGAGGGGGGAGATGGGAAAGTCGTCAACACCAAGTCTTCGTTACAAGTCCCAAATAATCCCTCGTCAAAATGTCTGTAGTCCAATGTCGAGTCTGGATCCAAATGTCACCAAGCTCTCTCTCTCTCATAGTCTGCTGATGCAGTGAAGTCAGGTAGCGAGAGGGTGAGATGGAGATGGTGGACTGAGAAGAGGAAGAAGAAGAACTCTCTCTCTCTCATATGCCAGGTACTAACCTGTGAAGTTGGCGCTGTGCTGCAGGTACCTCGAAGACGAAGTTGGAGCAATGGCGCTGCAGGTAAGTCTTCCTGGCCTCTGCCCAATCTCTCTCTCTCTCTCTACTACTGCTCTAGCTCCTATGGTGCCCAGCGCTGAAGACTACTGCTAACGCTACTAGCACCCAGCGCTGAAGACTACTGCTAGCGCCACTACTACTCCTCCAACACTCCTCCAGAGTGCTGCTGCCGAATCCTGAAGACTACCTCCTGCCTCCTGAACTGCACGTGAAGTACCTGGGAAGTACCTAGCAACTCCCTGCCTCCTAGGGCGGGCCAGTCTTATATAGTGCTGGCCCGTCCAGGAGGCTGCTCTTGCCATTGTCAAAACGTGCCAGACCCTGGGGTTGAAGCTCAAACAAAGGTTGTCTTGAAAATAGGTCAAAAATGGCCTGAGCTAAAACCCTGGTCTGGTGCCTGAGTTTCAGGGCAGGTCGAACTGATGAGGGCCTGAAAATGGCCCTCAGTTTCAGGCTGAAAATACTCAGGTCCGGAAAGGCCCTGATTTAGCCTGAAACGACATAGGGCCTGTAGCCCTTGTTTTCAGGCTTTCAGGCTGAAACGATACGGGGCCTGTAGGCCCTTGTTTTCAGGCTTTTGATTTTCAGGCTTTTGGCCTGAAAATGTCACGGGCCTGAAAGGGGCCCCGTGCAGCCTGTTGCAGGTGCAGCATGTAACACCGCCCCCTCCTTATGAAGTCAAGCCAGGGCGAGGGCGAAGCTGACGACTGAAGGTGGAACGTGGATGCGGCGGGTGCGACGTGGAGCCGAAGATACGGGCTTGCCTTGCATCTTGCTTTCGTAGCGTGCGAGAACATCCGGAGCTGTGGCTTGGAGTTCCGCACGGGTTAACCAAAGATCAGCTTTGTGACTGTAGTACAAAGTGTACCGAGTACTCGGTTGGCCTGTTGCCGGAGCGTCGCTGAGAGATGATGTCGCCGACCTCCTGAAAATCGTCCATAGAGAATGGGTCTTGCGATCGTCGCTCGGGAAAATCATCATGTTCCGTTGGCGTGTAAAAAGCCAACTTGGAGCAATGAAAGACCGGGTAGACGGGCAAGTGGGCGGGCACCTTAATGGTGAAGGAAGGTCCCTTGGGTGCATCCCTAGCGGGTGCCACGATGGGCCAAGGCCCCATCCATTTCGGGAGGAGCTTGCGAGAGATATCTTGTTCAATGCTGAATTCCGTGGCGGAAACCCAAACGAGATCGCCGGCGCAGAATGGGCAAGGAAGACACTGGCAATTGGCCTGTTGGCTCATGCGTTGCTGTGCCTTGGCCATCTGGTCGCGTGCCTTGACAAGCAGCGCTTGCATCCGATGCAAGAAAAAAAAATGGTCGTCCCTCTCGGGCGTTCGTGGAATGATGGCGAGTCGTGCTCCGGCGAGTCGTGTCCAACGGAGAAGTGACCGACGAGTCGTGCTTGAATTCGAAGGGCGACATCCTGATAGCCGGGTGGATAGACGAGTTGTATGCCAACTCGACATCTGGCAGCTGTTCAACCCAATCCTTTTGGTCGGGACGGATGAGAGTGTGAAGAAGAACCTATGTGGTCTGATTCACTCTCTCCGTTTGGCCATCTGTTTGGGGGTGGCAAGCCGAACTTGGCTTGAGAGATGAACCCCATCGTTTGATGAGCACCAACCAAAAATCGGACATGAACCGAGTGTCACGGTCGCAGACGATTTCCTTGGGGTAACCCTTGGTTCGAATCCAGCCGGCGTAAAGAACCTCGGCCAACTCCGGTGCCTTGGCATGATCGCGGCAAGGCAAAAACGTGGCGAACTTGGTGAGTCGGTCGACCACCGTGAGAATCGCATCCACTCCGGTCTTGTGCTTGGGAAACGGGCTGGTAATGTCCATGGCAATCGCTTCCCTTCGCCGCAAGGGAACCGGTAACGGTCGCAACTCGCCATACGGAGGATGGTTGCGGGATTCGCAACGTCGACAAACCTCGAATGACTTGCAATAGCGTGTGACGTAGCCGAGAAGGCCGGGCCACCAAAATCGCTCGCGAAGTCGGCCAATCGTGCGATTGACTCCAAAGTGTCCGGTGGCGGGAGCATCGTGGAACTCGCCAAGAATCCGTGTACGCAAGTGAGGGTCACTTGGTACGCAAAGAAGGTCCTTTCCCCGTGTGTGGACAAGCAAATAGCCCTCTTGGATCCGGTAGTGAGAAGGTGCCGGATTGGGAGAGGAGCAATTCGCGTACTTGTCGCGAAACTCGGGGTCGGCTTGGTAACCGCGGATGAAGCTGTTCCGCAGGTCGTCATCGATCTCGAAGGTTGAATAGACCACGGTACAATGATCCGGACGTCGTGAAAGAGCATCCGCAAAACGGTTCGACCTCCTGGGAATGTGATCGGGAAAGAAGTCAAATTGGTCAATGAAAGCCATCCAACGGGCGGTGGTGCTATTGACGGTGTCTTGGGTCTTGTAGAAGACCAATGGATTGTTGTTCGTCACCCATTGGGATTGACTTTGACCAAGGAGGAAGTGCCGCCACCGCTTGAGCGCGTGGACGAAGGCAAGGAGCTCCTTCTTGTGTGCATCATCAATGGAATGCACGACGGACACTTTCTTGCTGAAGTACTCGACCGGGTGCCAGTCTACGCCATCGTGTTGCTGGAGGATGGCCTCAATGCCATAGCTGGACGCATCGGTAGTAACACGCATTGGCAATAACGGGTCGTATATGCTCAAGACCTCCGCAGATAATAGCGCGGCTTTGAGAGCCAAACATGATTCCCCCGCCTCTTGTCCGAAGTCAAACGACCGATCCTCACATTGAAGCTTGGACAAGGGGGCCGCAATCTTCGAGTATCCCTTGATAAAACGTTGGTAGTAGCCGGCAAGGCCAAGGAACGAACGGACATCCGTGACGTTCCACGGCTCCGGCCACTCTTGGATGGCTTGAATCTTGTCCGACAGCGGACTAATGCCCTCCAATGTGACAAAATGGCCCAAGTATTCCAGCTCTTGCCGGACAAATTCGCACTTGTCGCAGTTCGCCTTGTGCTTGGCGTGGCGGAGCATATCCAACACTCGTCAAAGGTGCCTAAGATGATCCTCCGATGTCCGGCTATAAATATCGTCTAAGTAGATCAGCACGAACCGGTCCAACATTACATGAAAGTAATTGGTCATTGCCGCTTGCAAGGTCGTCGGGGCGTTGGTGAGGCCAAAAGGCATGACCACCCACTCAAAATGCCCATACCGCCTCTTGAACGCGGATTTGTAACGATCGTTCGGTCGGATCGAGATTTGATGATATCCCGACTTCAAATCCAACTTAGAAAAATACTTCGCGCCGCCCAATCGTCCAAGAAGATCGTCGAAGCGAGGAAGAGGCCTCCCATTCTTGACGGTTTGCGCTTTGAGCTTGCGGTAGTCGATGCACAATTGTAGATCCTTGTTCTTCTTCCGTACGAATAGAACTGGCGCTCCATATGGAGCGCTACTAGGGCGGATTCAACCCTTGTCCAACAAGTCATCGAGTTGCGCGCGGAGGACCGTAAGCTCCTCCTCGCTCATAAGTTGTTGCGTCCTTCCGTCCGCCAACTTGATCGCCGCCGGGCTTGCCTTCCTCCAAACTTGTGCGCCAAGGTCAACCCTTTGCATAAAGGCTTGGCTCATAACATTGCGAGACGCGCCGCTATCCAGCAAAGCGCCGCAGGACGCTTGCCCAACTTGGATGCGCACATAGAGGAGTGGTGCGTTGTTGTCGTCGTACCGCTGCTTGCGGAACTCGCGGGCCACCTTGGTAACATACGCAAGGATGTCCCCCACCGCGACTTCGTCATCCGTCGGCAAAGTTGGTGGTGCGTAGAAGGATAAGTACGTGTAAAGATGAGCGCATAATGTTGCGCATTGCGGTCCCGACAAGCGGCCCGTGGTCGGGAGAGGAAGCCATGTGAAATTCTCGGACGTGAGCGGGTCCAATACCTCTATGTTGAACTCGCGCACCGAATCCCGTGAAGAACCACTTCAAGACGATAAGTTGCCGCTGTCGGACGAAGAAGATGCCGCACACACGTCTTGTCCTTGAGCATGAGTACCCAGCGTAGGAACGAGCCGGGCAGCATAGTCCTCAAAAGAATAAAGAAGAGGAGGACTATTGACTTCCGCATGTGCCTTGGAACGAAGGGCGGTCACCCACGAAGTGACCGGTTCCGAAGGCGTCGAGAGTGTCGTCGAGTCACTCCCGACGGTGCTCAGTTTTTCGATTTGCCCTTGCCTTTCGACTGGCATACCATTGTGTCATGGAGATCATTGTTACACCACAGACAATAGCGGAATCTCGTGAGTGCCTTGTATGCTTGCTCGGAGAGACCGTAATGGGACCATGGGGCTGGAGCTGTTGCGCCGGGCTTGGGGCTAGATGTGGTGTTTGTCTTCTCGTTGCCGCATCCTCGGCTTTTGCCGGGGCGGCCACCTTACCGGGTGGCTGTGAGTCTGTCCCTTTTATTGGCAGACACGTCCTCACTAGTTTGGTCGTTTGGCTTGCCGCCGCGACCACGGGCACTTTCGGGCGATGTTGATCTCTGCTCAGACCTGGAGCAGATGAGCGCTGGAGATTCTTGGCCTCCTTGTTCGTGACAATAATSTGCGCGGCCTTGTCGAGGAGTTTTGCCGGTGTCGTCAGGGTGTCCTYGATGTGAGTCAAGGCATTGCCCAACGCCGGACACGACCTCGAAATGAAGTAGTGTTTGATGGCTTTGAAGCCCATCTGAATGTCTGGATGGATGTCAAGCGTTGGTACTCGGCAATCCAATCAACACTTAGCAGCGTGCCTTGTTCGAAGACCATCAACTTGTCCATTGCCTTGATCTCTAGCGGCTCTACCTGGAACCGCTTATGCCACGCCGCCTTTGGATCATCCCAGCTGATTTTGCTATGCAAGTCGGCAGCCACCACTCCGTACTTGGACAAGAGACTGTCCAACCATGCTTGGCACGCGCCTCCCGAGCGGGAGTATAAGTATGCGTGGTGCTTGTGTTCTTTGACGTAGTGTAGCTGCAATGTGAGCTCGAACTTGCGGAACCATGGAATCGGGTCCGTCTTCGTCGAGTTGTAGAAGATCTCCTGCCCATCGAACTTTGGAGTTTTCTCGCGCGGTTCCGAGCTCGAGTGGTTGGCGGCAGTACAGATCCGCTGCTCTAACTGATGCGTTGCGGTTTGCTGTAACAACACGCCGTCCTTGAGGGATCCGACGTCAATCTCCAATGCCTCGAGGCGATCGGAGGTGTTGGAAGAGTTGGCAACGGAGGCGGTGACAGATTGTTGCTGCAGCTGCTGGAGGCCGTTGTTGACTTGATCAATCGCCCATTTGTGCATCTGAACCGCGGCGTCGAGGTTGTGGATGTCCCCCTGCTGTGCAATGCACGTCGCCAGGAGATCCGTGATATTGGAGAGGAGTAGAGCGATCTTGCTTTCACTCTCTTCCATCTTACCATTCTCGGCCTCACCCCGCCAGTCCGCTGCCATTGTGAGCAAAGCTTGCTCCCCGTTGAATATCTTCTCACGTCGTTGAGTTCGTTCTTCATCGGCAGCCTTTGCTGTTGCCTCGTCGTGCTGGTGCTGCTGTTCGATTGCCAACAGACGTGCCTGTTCGGCGTCCTCTGCCTTCTTCTTTTCTGCGACTGCTACTGCGTCCGCCCGTTGCTTGGCTTCGGTACTCCAAGCCAGCATCCGGGTCTGATAGGCCGCGGCCGTTTCCCCGGCCTTCTGATCCATGGCGACTGTTTGTGAGCGCGTAAGCATAGACCAGGCCAGAGGGCTGCTGACGTGGCACTCCCTGCTGCTGACGTGGCACTGCTGACATGGCAACTCACCAATGCCGCTGCAGGGGGTACCCGGAGACAGATAGAGAAGATAAGACGAGAGGGGGCAACAACCTAGGTGGGGAGGGGTGGGTGGGATAATCGCCCAGAGAAGGAGCCACTAATCAAAAAGAAAAGTTTGAACTTTGCAAAAATTCCGAGAGAAGAAAAAAATACTCGTTTGCAAGATCAGTAGGTCTCCCAAATCCCCTTGACGTGTGAAATTACCCTGAGGAAAAACTTCGAACTTTCAGACTGCAAATGATTGTCCGATGAGAATTCCGAAAAAATAAAATCATGGTAACCGCCTGGACGTCCGAACCGGGATCCAGACAGTCCGGTGCCCGGTGTCTGGTGTCCGGTGTCTGGTGTCCGGTGTCCGGTCCCCATGTCTGGATGGAGGCCCCTGGGGCAAAAATCAAAAAAAAAAAAGGGGCGGCCCAGGACGTTTGTCGGGTCCTAGTCGCCCCTCGAAAAATAACGAGGTGATTTTTAAGTGTCCTTTCACCCCACCGGACATGGCCTAGAGGTCCAGACACAAGACACTGCAGGTTTTTGAGGTGGTGGGTTTTGCACA